TGACATGGTCCATGGGTTGGCTTGGTCCACAAGTAGTGTAGCACAAGGTTGAGGCAAAGAAGTAGCTCAAGCAGTACTGTGCTGATCCAGGATGCTGGCTTTGGAAAGCATTGATCTCAGTCACCTTCCAATCAAGCTTTGACCTGATTAAACTCTGCCCACATGTTCCTATGGAGGCCTAGTTGGCACAATAAACCTATCACCATTGGGAATAGAGTATCCTATATCTGGTACTCTAAAGCGTGCTATTTGCTCATTTATATTATTAAGCTATTTATATTGTTAATGGCAATGAAAAGAAACAGCAGTTAAAACCTTTTGACCTAAAATCATGAACATGTCATATTCAAAGAAGAAAATAATAACTTTTGACCTCACAGTACTAGCCTCATCTTTATTTCCAGTACTTAGAAGGCGGATGGTCTGAATTCTTTATCTACTTTTCTTTCCTCCTCCCCTCTGCTGGAAAAGATTAAAATAACGAGCCTGTTCCATCTACTTGGAGTGCCTGGCCAGGACAGCTTCTTTGCAGCTTGTTCACTCTGGCAAATAGGAGTTGACACATTGGTGCTTCTTTCTTGCCCTCAAGGACCAGAGCAGGTGATTTTAATAATGCTCTCTAGTTTGGGTCTCTTCAAGATAGAAACATAATGTCTTCCAAACCAAAACCAAACTCACCGTCATCAAGTCCATGCCAACACAGAGCAGCCCTCTAAGACAGGGTAGAACTGCCCTGTGGGTTTCCAAGACTGTAACGCTTTGTGGAAGTAGAAAGCCCCTTCTTTCTCCTGCAAAGCAGCCAGTGGTTTCAAACTGCTGACCTTTTGGATCACAGCCCAGTATGTAAGCACTACACCAACAGGGCACCTTACATAACGATCTGGTGCTGTGTTGTTGTTAGGTGCCATTGAGTCAGTTCTGACCCATAGCGACCCAACAGAATGAAACTACCCGGCCCTGCACCAGCCTCACAGTTGCTCCTGTGCTTGAGATCACTGTGTCGGTTCATCGCCTAGAAGGCCTCCTTTTCACTGCTGCTCTCCTTTACCAAGCATGACGTCCTTCCCCAGGGACTGGTCTCTCCTGACAACACGTCCAAAGTCTGTGAGATGAAGTCTCACCGTGCTTAGCCTCTAAGGAGCACTCTCCTTACTTCTTCCAAACCAAATGTGTTTATCCTTTTTGCAGTCTGTGGTACTTTCAATATTCTTTGCCTGCACCACAATTCAAATGAATCAATTTTTCTTCGGTCTTCCTTATTCAATGTCCAACTTTCACATGCACATGAGCCCATAGAAACTACCATGACGTGGGCTGGTCAGATATGCTTTAGTCCTCAAGGTACCCTCCCGGCTTTTCAACACTCTAAGGAAGTCTTGTTCAAAAGATTTACCCAATGCGACAACATAATGATCTAGCAAGTCCTTTGTCCATTTTCTAGAGAAGCTGGAGAAAAGTAAAGGAGGAATTTTCTATAAACACTGAGAATCTCCCCTGAAGATCATTCTGCATGTTTCTAGCCACTCATGATTGGAGCCACATTTACAAAAATAGGCCTATAGGGAAGGCAGGAGAATGAGTCAATTACAAGATATGCCTGCCTTCACCTAAGAGATCCAGAACTAGCAGCTTGTCACTTATGAATATTCCAAAGTCTTGCTAATGAACTACTTTCCACTTGCCCATGGAGAGTCCTACTCTGCCTACCCCATAAGGAATATGTTAAAGAGATGGTCCGTGATTATTCCAAGTGAATGAAATCATTTGTCTTCAATTAGTAATAGCCTAAAAAAATTACTGAAAACTTTTCAAATTATTATTTAAAATTTAGTATCCACTATATGAAATAAAGAGCCCTGGTGGCATAAGGGCTAAGTGCTCGGTTGCTATATGAACGAATTCTACCCAGTGGCTCAGCAGGAGAAAGATCTGGTATGCTAGTCTGGATAGACTAGAGAAACAAGTTCATGGACACTTATATGTGTATAAGAAAGAGCTTTATATACAAGAGCGATTGTATATTGAGAAAACTTTCCATCCCAGTCCAGATCAAGTCCATAAGTCAAATATTAGCCCATATGTCTGATACCAGCATATAAATTCCTCTTCAGACTCATGCCGCCACATGCAATGATGCCAAATGCAGGAAGATCACAGGCTAGTGGGTAGAAGTATCCCAGTGCTAGTAGGGGTCTCCACGTGGCTCCTCCAGCTCCAGGGCTCTAGCGTAGCTCCATGTGCCTTGTCAGCAGGAAGGTGAAGCAGAGAGTGTGTATCTCCCGCCTCCAGGGAGGAAGACAGGAGGTTCCAGAAAACTCAGGAGAAGGCCATGCCCATATGGAGGCCTCATTGGCTATGGTCTGATGGACAGGCTAGTCTCCACCCCTTTGCAAATTGACAGGAAATTATGTAACTGCCACAATCTGGCAATCTACTTCCAGCGAGCCTAGAAAACTCCATGGGCAGCTCTATTCTGTCACATGGGATGGCTATGATTAGGAATCAACTCAATGGGAACATACTGAAACTAAAGTTGTTTGTGAGACACTGGAAAGTTAATAAATGGCTAATGCCAAATAATCACATTTAACTGCTTAACTAAGTCAAGTTGAATTAGGAACTATAGAAGGTTTTCTATGCATACTGTATACCGATATGGGAGAATATGTGCTTCTTTCTCCTTAAAACAAAAAAATTCTACAGGTTGTGTGATTATCTAGTGATGGGGACTAAATGCAGCATCTTAGCCGAAGTTGCCATTCACTCTCAATATGTTCTCTCTTTCTTTGCTAATTGAGATTGTGTTACACTTAGTGTCTTATTTATGTCTTTTAATATGGCAGCATATTGTACCCAGAAAGCAGGTATAGTATAAATCATTAAAAGGTAAAAATTAACACGTGGTGTAGTATTACCCACGGGTTCAGTAAGCACAATTGTACGGTTGAGATATATAAGTATTATATTAAAGTCATCGAGAGCATGAGAGATATTACAATAATGCAGTCAGACACATTACATGGTAGCATTGCTCACCTCAGCCCAGCTTGGCGGTCCATGTGGAGAGAGGGGGAAGGGTAGGAGGGCAAGGGAACAAGGGAGAGAGGACTGGAGGGGAGAGGGGGAAGAGAGGGGAGCACCAGGGAGTAAGAGCCTCTATTGCTGACCCACGCCTATATACCTTTGGAGGTGTGCAAGACCCTAATTACAGATAAAGACATACGTCACAGAAGGGGTTACACTATAGGTTACACAGTAATGAGGGGGTGGTCTAAGGGATGGTGTCTGGGTCTCCATAGGAACCATTATCAGTAGGGTGAAAACTCCACTTACAGGAACTGAGTTAATGGTCCCAAGCCTTAGCTCATTGTCCCCAGCAGCAGGGAGCAGGCCCACCCCTTGGTCTGGTGACTGACTGTCTTCAGTGGGGGGGAATGCCTGCGCATCTGACCTCCCCACACAACGTGGATGTCCTAACAATAACATCTTAAATTCAAATGGTTAAGATCGCAACATATCATGACTTCTGCATCCCTTCCCACTCATAGGCCTTCCCAAACCCAGCAACCAACCTTGTCTGGGCCAGCAACATCACCATGCTGTCAGCCATCCAGGCTAGGAAGCTTTAATCACCTCTGACCCCCATCTCCTCTTTCCCTGTATCTGGAATACAGTCTGTCACAGAAAGCAGGTGCCAAGAATCTTGGCCACTACATATTTTGTGTCATGGAGTTTTCACTTTTGCAGGGACTACTACTAGTAGTAGGTGCTGTGTTTTCATTCACATGCTTAAAAATAGAGTGTGGAATTTTGGGAGCTGTTAATATTAGAAGCCAATTAACAGTATCACTCCATCCATTTCCCAGTGCATGAGTTATTATTGAATATGCTACTTCATTTGTTTCATTGCTGCTATAGTTATAGCTGTTTGGATTGTTAATGATAAAGAAGGAAACATGGGAGAAATACAGTTCTTTGATGGCATGGTATTTTTATTAGCCATGCTTCTTAAAATGGCTTTGTTTATTTACCTCCAGATACAAGAGTTAAAAGTTAAAAATTATTGCTACTAGGGTTCAGGTTCACACATGCAACGGGTTTATTCCACACAAAATATGTTTAAACATGCCTCTTCAATCAGTGGATCGTTGCAGGCAAGTTCTCCCAATAATACACTGGTCCTCGTCTTATTAGAGTGCCTTTAAAACAAGGATTAAGCAAAACAGTGGCTTCTGAGAGGGTCTGCAGGGCTGGTTAAATTTAAGACGAAAGGCGGCCTCGGGAAATGGAGTTTGGTTTTGAATCCCTGAAGAGACAAGGACACAGGGAGATCAGAGGCGCTTATGAAGAAGTTTTAAGAAAACTGACACTCACATTGGTGAGGAAAAGGCCAGGAGTGTTGCACCCAGGAATTTTTGTTGGCCTCCTAGCAACGCACCAGCTCACTCTTTGACTTAGCAAGGGCTGTCCATGGAGGATTTCATTGAGAAACGACCTCATTCTCCCTATTGCTCTGATCTCACCCCCTCAAACACTTTTATTACTCAGACTCAAAACTCATTTAAAAGGAACAGCCTGAGTACCTTAAAGATCCCCAAACGGCTGATTTTGACTACGAGCATAACTAGCCTAATGTTGGTGGTGGTTGAAAACATCCTGAAAGACAGGCCTGACAATCTGAATCAAGGTCACAACCTTGAAAACCCTGTGGCATACTTTTACTCTGCACACACGTCCCCATGAATTGGAATCCATTCCACCTCAACTAATGATAACAAATAGGAACTCGTAGGAGAGTACCATCAACACATAAAGAACTACGAATCCCAGAATGCCGTTCTCCCGATCTATTCCGCGAGAATCCCGGAAGGCGGTATCAGCCAATCCGTGCATGGAGAACTTATGCTATTAGCCAATCAGAAGGTGAGTCGGCTCCCGGAGGCGGAGGCGGGAGGCTCTCAGATTTGAAATCGGAACCGTGGCGGCTGTTGGAGCGGTGTCTGGGGATTGCCGGCTAATTCGAGGAGGCCAAGGTCTTTCGAAGGGGAGGGCGGCGGGGCTCCGGCCTGCCCGTGAAGGTGAGGGAGGCTGGGCCCTCGGGCCGCCTGCCACGGTAGAGGTTTGGGGCGTGGGGCGTGTTTCCGAGGCGGTGTCTGAAATGGAGCGTCCACCGCTTCGGGGACCTCTGGGCCTCGCGGATGGGCCGCAGCCGTGGGGAGAGATTCTGGGTTTCGCCCACCCACCGCTCTGCGGCCATTTAGCATCACAAGAGACCTGGCGGGACCTGAGGTCTTCCAGACGGACATCTGGCCCAGAGTACAGAGGCCCTGAAAGTTCAGGTGACGCGTATAAATCCTGGGCGAATCCCACGAACTTTGACATTACGTCCCATTTTACTGGCACCTTTCTGATCTGAGAGCCCTGGTGGGCCAGTGGTCAGCAGTTCAGAACCACCAGCCAGCTACTCCGCAATATAGACCGGGGGTGTTCTACTCCCTTAAAGATTTATAGGCTCGGAAACTCCTAGGGGCAGTTGATATGTACCCTGTCCTACAGGGCCCCTGTGAGTCGGAATCAACTGGGTGGCGGTGGGTTTGGGGTTTATTTTTCTGATATGAGGTGAGAGGGGACTTATCCTTGGGTGGGGCTGGGATGCTGGGGACCCACGCTAGAATCGAAAAGTGTCCGTGGGAAGGGGCTTAAAAGTCTTCCATTTTACTTGGGCATAAACAGTCACTTCTCCAGCTGGGAGAGGGTGTGAGTGACTATAATTCCACTCACCCTATGAGGTAAGGGTGTCCTGGATTCTTGAGAGTTACCCACAGTTAGGCCTCAGGTGGCTTTGGAAGATCTGCGGTTAAAGATAAATTGTTCACCAAGGGCAATACTTGCAAATATCATACTGCCAAACAGATTGGACTCCATGTCCGATTTGACTCCAAAATGTTTTTTTAAATAATAATGTATGTTCTATTTGCTTTGTAGAATTATCCTACCAATGATAGAGGACGAGCTGCTACAGTTTGATAAGAGCATGAATGAATTTAGGAATAAATATTTCAACACTCTCAATGACACCTCGGGTCAGATGATGGGCCTACGAGACACATACAAGGATTCCATGAAAGCATTTGCAGGTACCTAAAGCAAGCTTGCTGGGTTTGTTTGCTTTTTTTTTTTTTTTGGGTGGTGGTGGTGGTGTTTTAACGGAATTGAAATTTCTCTTTCAGAAAAGTTGGTTGTGAAATTAAAGGAAGAGGAGCGAATGGTTGAGATGGTTCTGGAATACAAAACTCGTAAGTAACAAAGTACATTTAGTTTTATCTTACCTTAAGCGTTTTCAGCATAACCTCCCTCACCGAAGCAAACGAATGGATCGTGTGTACAAATGAGGGGGCTTCAACAAGTTTTCAGAGAAATGGAATCATGAGAGCATGGAAATTTCCACTACCTTTTGAAACCCCCTCTCCTCCGGCGCGGGGCCCAATCCCCCCCTCCCCCCATATGTAAGCGGAAGGTTGACTTGTTGCTGCCCAACAAGGAAACAAACCTGTCGCTATGGAGTGAGTGGCCGCTGAAGCCAGAGTGGCCTCATAGGGTCTCCCAGGTTGTAGATCTTTGTGGAAGCAGACTGCCACAGCCTTCTCATGCGCGTCGCCAGCCTCCTGGCCCGCACTGTGCCACCAGGGCTCCGGTCCAACCACAACATATACATGGTTTTTTTTTAAGTTAATGTACCTGGTATCTAGCTTAATAAATAAAACATCCTCTTTATATCTCCCTCTTCTCCCCCCTTCTGAATCTAACTTGTTAACGTTTTCTTTTGTATTGCCGCGATATCGTGTGAAGTCCGCCCTTTTTGTTGCTCAGGTTGGTATTTGTGAGGTTCATTCATGCGCATGGAGCCCTGGTGGTGCTGGCCAGAAGTGTTGGACTGCTCGTGGCCACAAGGCTACACAAAGCCTCGGACACTGTAGGGTTGCTTTGGGTTGGAATGGACTCTGGCATTGGTCATGTGTAACTGCAAATTTGTTTTCTCATTGGGAATCACAGACTGGGCCTAAAAGTCCAAGGTCTCTCAGCTCTCCGGGGTAGAGTTAATGTTCTGACAGACTCTTCGCATTTTTATTACCCTTCTTGCCCTTTTCTTTTTTTTAACTCCTCTACCCACACCCCTAAATTAACCACAATAGATCAATGTCTTTTACTGAAATCTTACCCAGAGGTCACAAACTGGTGGCCATAGTTTAAATTCTGCTGGAGACACTCAGGTTAGTTGTACAGTATTTTAAACAATATTAAATTGAAGTGCTTTTTAAGTTTTTTCGGGGGCTTATACAACTCATCACAATCCATGCATACATCCATTGTGTCAAGCACATTTGTATGTTTGTTGCCATCATTCTCAAAACATTTGCTTTCTACTTTTGAGCCCTTGGTATCAGTTCTTCATTTTTTCCCTCCCTCCCTCAGGAACCCTTGATAATTTATAAATTATTATTATTTTGTTATGCCTCACACTGACCGATGTCTCCCTTCACACACTTTTCTGTTGTTTCCTCAGGGAGGGGGTTAGATGTAGAACATTGTGATCGGTTCCCCCTTTCTACCCAACCTTCCCCTTACCCTCCTGGTATCACTACTCTCATTATTAACCATGAGGGGTTTATCTGTCCTGATTCCCTGTGTTTCCACTTCTTATCTGTACCAGTGTGGATCCTCTGGTCTAGCCAGATTTGTAAGGTAGAATTGGGATCATGATAGTGGGGCGGGGGAGGAAGCATTAAAGAACTAGAGGAAAGTTGTATGTTCCAGTGGTGCTATACTGCACCCTGACTGGCTCGTCTTCTCCCCGTGATCCTTCTGTAGGGGATGTCCAGTTGCCTACAGATGGGCTTTGGGTCTCGACTCCTCACTCCCCCTCACTCACAATGATGATTTTTTGTTGTTTGATGCTTGATACCTGATCTTATCGACACCTTGTGATCACACAGGCTGGTGTGCTTCTTCCATGTGAGCTTTGTTGCTTCTCAGATAGATGGCCGCTTGTTTACCTTCAAGCCTTTAAGACCCCAGACGCTATACCTTTGGATAACCGGGCACCATCAGCTTTCTTCACCACATTTGCTTATGCACTCGCTTTGTCTTCAATGATTGTGTCGGGAAGGTAAGCATCGTGGAATGCCAGTTAATAGAACAAAGTGTTCTTGCATTGAGGGAGTACTTGAGTAGAGGACCAATGTCCATCTGCTACCTTAATACTAAACCTATAAATTTATGCCAATAGATTTGTTTCCCCATCGGCATATGATAATATATTTACATATGTACATGCATATATTTAGACCTCTATAAATGCCCTTTGCCTCCTAGTTCTTTCTTCTATTTCCTTTTACTTTCCTCTTGTACCCCTATCATGTTTAGCCTTCATTTGGGTTTCAGTAATTCCTCTCCTTACATTGCCCTTGATCAAGGCCTACCAGGCCTATACTCCTCACCATCAATTTTGGATCACTTGTTCCTTGTCCCTGGGTTTCTTAACCCCCACTCCCCCACCCACTTCCCTCCCATTCTCCCATGTCCCCCCGGAACAGTAGGTCCCTTTGTTTTCTCCTCCAGATTGTTTATCCTGGCTATCTTATCGAGACAGACCTGCAGAGTAATAACATGCACAAAAACAAGACAGAGCAAAACAAAGCAACATAAGAAAACAAAACAACAACAACACACCAAGGACAAAAGAAAATCCTGTAAATAGTTCAAGGTCTGTTTGTTGACCTTAAGGAGTATCTGATGGGGTGCCACACCTTGGCCCCAAAGTCTATTTTTGGTATTTTCTGGGGCCTTGTTCTGTTCCCCTTGCTGTTCTGCTGCACACCCTTAGTGTTTCGTCTCAGTGTGGTGGGATCAAATTGGGTGCAATTCCCACACTGTGTCTCCATTGTTGTCCCCTGAAGCGCTATGGGTCAGTGAGGGATATTGTGTCTCGTAGTGGGCCTGGCCCTATGGTCCTTTCTGTGCATTGGCTGCTCTGAGCGGGGATATTGTCCTCAGGGCTTGGTGGGCCAGGATGTGCTCCACTCTCTCTTCCTGTCCCTTCCTTTACGCCTGTGTGCTCTGATCAGACATGTCCCTCTCCCTGAGCTGTAGCTTCAGTGCTGTCCTCTGAAGTGAATTCTTTTGTGGGGATAGGGGTGGTGTCCTCGTAGTTGGGATTGGGGCTGGTCTTTCAGACCTCAATTGAAGTGCTTTTACATAGGACATGGGATCTCTTCTCCAGACTCCCAATATTCTTTTGTCTGCCCTCACCTACTTGACTCACCGTCTGGTCCTTGAAGGTATTTGTGTGTGGCAACCCTGAGTAGATTAGATAGGAGACATTTGCTCATGTTTCTTTTCTAAGCTGCTGGAAGCTTCCATGCCCTCTAGCTTCTGTCACCCACCCTGCCTGACCGCCCACAGAAAGGAAACCTCGTGTGGAGGTATGTGTGCACCTGCTAGACTGATAATGGATTTGGGGACTTTCAACAGTTATCAAACCCCTAGGGATTAGACAATTAGGTGTAAACTCCGCTTTTGATACTGAGAGTATTAAAAGTATGCTCTTAAAAGTTATCTGTATGGGGAGATAGACTCTAAGTAATCTCAAAGCACTGTCAATATTTTCTTCTAAAAAGTCAGTTGCCATTTGAATGGGAATATAATTTAGTTAGGTTTAATGAATCCAGTGATCGTTTGATTGCTAACTTACCAAGCCCAGAGGAAACAACAATGCAGAAGACAGGATCTATGCATGGTTCACAACTGATTGGTATGTACAGACAGGGAAGCCACACCAAGGCATATTGCTGCATGTGCTAATAAAAGATGGAGGAGGTGCTGTGTAGACATAGAATTTAGAGGCTTTGTTTTTCTAGTAAGGATTCAAACGTAACTGAACTCACTGCTATCCAGTCGACTGATTCATCAGGACCCCACGGGACACGGTAGAATTCCCCCTGTAAGTTTCTGAGAGTAGAAAGCCTCATCTTTTTCTTGTGGAGCAGCTGGTGGTTTTGACCTGCTGACCTTGCAGTTAGCAACCCAATTCGTAATCACAACACCCTGGCAGCAACTAAGGACTTACTACATACAACATAGCAGGCCCTATCCTAAGGTCTTTGCATATATTGACTCTGAATCTTCACAACTCAAGAGACATGTGGAATATTTTTAATCCATTGACATTGTGCTAAATCTAAAAGTAAATTTATTAACTTAGGAAGGAATATTTTAAGGAAGAGATAAACCAAAATAGATTTCTCTTTTTACCTAACTGGATAGCTTAGGAAATCATTTTTCCTTGGCACGCATACCTCCCCCCTGCTATTAACAGTTGAAGAAAATTCTGTATCCTGACATAACCACTTCAACTTGATGTTGAGTGTTGAACTTGATCACATAATCTTTTTCCCTTTCAGGTGATACATTGCAGTTTATATTCACTAATGACCCCAAGCATCCTGACAGCCCATTTATGTTTTCCCTGCAACTGAATGAGCTGAGTCAATTCAAAGCAATCCTCTGGGACAGAGTAGCACAATTCCACAGGGTTTCCAATGTTCCAAGTCTGTACAGATGAGATTGCCACATCTTTGTCCCGGGCAGCCGGGACGTTCAAACTGTCCTCTAGCTGGCTGCTGAATGCTTTCACCACTGCATTACTGGTGTTCGCTGTATTTAGGGGCATCAAGTGTCTTCATGGACCCAATTTACACTTGTGGCTTGGACACATTTTTGCTATTTGTGCCCATGTGGAACCTGCATCTTTCTTGATGTAGATTATTGAGTATCTTGTGTATTATCACTGTAAATGAGATTTCACCCTTGCCTGGAGAACACTAGTCTTGAGGGCCCCAGAGAATTCCACATTTAGTTAAATTTGGAAAACAGGTCATAATTTCTTTTTAAAGATCCATGTCCCTCAAATTCTCTGAAGTTCTACATTTTAACTGACACCTTGTGCTCCTTACAGAGCTCAGCAGGCAGAATGAGCTTATACA